TGGGCCGTTTTCTGAGGCCAGCATCAAGTAGGCCCAGCCGGCCCAGCAATACAAATAGCTGGGCAGCGGCTGGGCAGACACAGTTCGGGTAACTTACTTCTGGAGCGACACGCTGCTGGTTGAAGCAACGTTATTCTGCGCCAAGCTACGGAGTAGGTGGTAGAGAGGGGTGGAGGCCTTACCTGCAAGGAACGAACTTACCTGGCGCCATAGATGGGCTCCGCGCGGTACCTCCACACGACGACGACCACAGTTAGTACGGTGACAGCTACGTGCAGGTGAGATAGCAAGGAGGACGTCATCTTCTTCTTCTTCCTCCTCCATCTTTCTCTCTCTCCTTTCTCCTTCTTCTTCCTTTTTCTTACCTTCTTCTTCATCTACGAGAGTGGGAGAGATCATCGGTAGGGAATACAGGCAGAGGTTATGTTGGGCACATTGCCCAGGATCTGATTCGACATTCTGGGATAGACATTGATTGGACACTCGGCAAGGGACTATTTTTGGGACTTTGCTATTGCGATCTTGGTCTACTCCCTCGCCTCCTTCTCCTTCGTCTTGTCCCTTTCCCCCATCTCTCATCCGTGGTATCTCCCCATGTATGTGTGCGAAGGAGGGACCTTCCTTCTGTGATTGCATTCCCTCCTCCCTTCTCACATGTGTGATGTATGATGGATGTCGGGTCAGTTCAGATCAGATCAGATCTTCTCTTTAAGTCTTCCACCGGGCCACTTTGTGCCATCTTGTATGTATCGGAATTTCCATGGCTTGTTGATGCTACGCTGACCTTGCATTGTCCATTTCAGTCCTTTTCATCACATTGCGGATCCTTGGCTCCCTACGCATTGTCCCATTGGGCATGCGTCAGTTTGGTATAGGAGCCCCGCTTGTGAATCAGGACAACCTGATCTGACACAAGCGCGGGGACAATCAAAGATTGATTGATTGATTGATTGTTTGATTGATTGATTGATTGATTGATTGATTGATTGATTGATTGATTAATCATTGATTGATTGCTTGATTGATTAGTTTACATTAATTAGTCCCCAAGATCGCGGATTTTGACCTAACTGTCGAAATCAAAATTTTTTTCTTTTTTTGGATTTCATTTTCCCGGTATTTTTATTCGTGGAAAATCGTAATAGCGTAGCATCTGGAAGTTTCGTTTTTTTCTTTTTAAGAAATTCGAAATTCCAGTGCTGGAGGTCCGAAAATATTACGATTTTTTTTCGATTCATCTTTTCCTTCGCAATTCCCGTTAATTCGAAATTCCGAAAAAAAAAATTCGTAATTTCGAACTTATTTCCGAAACTTTTATGTTCTTTTATTCACGAATTCCTGGGGTAACGAAAATTTTGGAATTTGACCGTTATTCCCAGATTCAGAAATTATTTTTTTTACGGGAACATTCCTCTGCAGTCATTTATTTTTCAAACTGCGCATACTCTCACTTGAGAAATTCCGAATTTCTTTATGTTTCGAAATTCTCCGAACTTGCGGAATTTTTTTATTTTCGCAGTTCAGTTATTTTGATCATCTTGCGAGGATCAGGGTCCTCGATAGGCCTATGGGGCCCTGTTTGCAGCCTTACCCGCCCTAAGTGAAGGCGGAGGTGCCCGCCCTAAGTGAAGGCGGGCCTGGCTTTTTGCAAGAGGTCCTCGACCGTCAATTTCATATTTGGGGTCCAGGCAGTTGCGACGCGCCAGTTGGTTGAAAGAAACACAGGCCGAGCACCGAAGACATTTCCACGGCCTACTGGGCCTTTCCAAAGAATGCAGGCCCTGGGCGTGATTCGCAGCCTCATACAGAGACAGTGGGGCGCCCAACCGAACGAGGCCCAGCAGCCCAGTAGCTGCTGCATCCAGGCAGCCTCCTAGGGCCTTCCGGAAGCTTCTGCGCCCAGGCCAGCCCAGCCAGGCTGCGGGAGCTGGCCAGCTCTTTTCCATAAAGGAAAGAGCTCTGGCCAGACAGCCCCATTCAGGCACTCGCATGCTAGCGGCAGCGCTGCTGGAGCAAAGGCTCGCGGCTGTTGGCTGGCGCTGAGAGGCGAGGTGCAGCACGTGCGGTCGTGCAGAGGAGGGCACTGCTGAGGGCAACGCCATAGCCCAACCACCATAGCTGGTGGGCTTGGACTACAGTGAAGCGCAGGGGTGGTCTTCGGGTGAATGAGAGGACAATGTAGTAGTTGTGTAGGAGTAGGCTGGGCGCTAAGCGCCAAGTGTGAGTGTGAAGGAACTGGACTCTTGTGTTGGGAGGAGAGAGTATGCTCTCCATGAACATTGGTTTTCAGTGCTACGAACCTCCATTGGTGTATTATTGGTGCAATGTTGCTCTCTGTACACGGTGTGACTATTTGGCTTTCAATGTGATGGTGTGATCTGGAATTGTCATCTCGCTGTTACTTATTTTCCTTGCAATTTGGTATCGGAGCTGGTTCATATTGCGCTTGATTAGTTCTTCGCAATAGCTATTGGTGCTTCGCATGAGGTGTGGGGCAGTGGTTGAACGTTTGGCGGCCCAGGGTAGTGTGGGCGCGCCAGGGAGCTATGTGGTGACATACGGGGTGTATGCTGGATGATGAGAACTCGCTGATGTGACATATTAAGCCGAGGTGGAGCCACATTCTGCTGTTGGTTGTGTTGAGGCAAGGACTGGTCATCATAATTGCACATCAGGTTACCGGTGAGAAATCTGTGGTTGGGGGCAGCATTTATAAGGTACGTTGCTCTCTTCCTTATCTACCCTCTTCATCTCTTCTTACCGTGAGGAAGTGAGTTCTGTCTTGAGAGTCCTCTCGATGTAAGGTGTTGCGAGCGCTCAACCTTGAGAGTCGACATTCTTCCTGGGCAGCAAGTTGGTGGGAGACGGGCGAAGCCTCTGAAGGGCCCTGGACGAAGCACTCGGGTCACGGTCACCATGCCAACCCGTTGGGACTTGTACACGCATGCTTGGGCTGCAAGTCCTTGGTTCTGCTGCTTGCGCAATAGAGGTCGTGTCGGGCATGCCAGCCTTTTATGAGACGCTTACCAGACCGTCTATAAATATTTCTGGTTGGGGACTCTGATTGAATCTGGCTGTGATCGTCGTCCTGACTGTGACGTTAAATAATTCCTGAGGAGATGGGGGCTCTCCTAAATTTCCTCCTGATCAGCCAAATCAACTGAGTGTAAGGCTCGTTCCGTACGGGCTCGTTCCCTACGAGGGTAAATAAGAGTGGACTGGCTGGCATGTTCGGCAATGATATGGGGCACAGGGGTGGGCCGGACTGCACACCTTTAGACACGCTGCTCAACCAGATGCTCAGGAACGTTGACACAAAGTGACCACTCACGAAGAATATAGGGGGAGGGGGGATTCCGATAACTGTTCACAGTGGCAATCAACTATCAATCTGCCATCCAGTATACATCTCCAACAGGAGATGTTATTTGTATTTTTGATTATCTAGTTGTGACAGACTTTGCTAACAACTGACAGACAACTACAGATAGAGTAGATCATTGCTGTAGTGCAATTTGTTCCAGGGTAATCTAAAATAGAATTAATATATCCTGTAGGACCTGACATTAGTTGTTACTATGTCACCTAACTGTTTCTGTTCCAGCCGACCGAAATTAGTTGTAGTTCATAATCGGTTGTGTGTCAGGCGAAGGTAGGATTCAGTGTGGATTCTAGTTTAGATCACACACACTGTAGCTCATGAGTGATGCAAGCACTAGTGAGGAGGAATTGCTCGTGGACGACCGTAGGACTACTCGCGGGACTGCCCGCAGTCAATCCTTGACATTCTTGGAGTTAGGTCCAGGAGACGAGAGAAGATTGAGGAGAGAGGTTAGAGAGAGAACAGCGGCAAGGAGAGCGAGGGCAACTGAGGATAGTGCCAAGACTAGAGTCTCAGCTAGTATGGGTGCAACCATGGCTACCTCAGCTATGTCGCAAGTCTCTACACAGTCCACTTCGTCAGGAGTCAGTCATAGTGGTTCTCAGGTTTCCACTGGTCAGATTGCTAGCTTGCAAGTCAGCCAGCAAATTCAACTCACGCCGGAGGACTTAGAAATCCGGCAAGCAGAAGAACTTCAGGATGAGCTACAGCGGCAGCTGGAGGAGGCAGCGGAGAGGAGAAGAAAAGCCATACTTAGGAAGGCTAGACTAGGGAATAGAATGCAGGAGCTAGGCAGACTGGAAACACTAGATGAGGCAGCATTAGACCCTACTGGTCGTGTGCTGCGTAATGCTTTACTTTCGGTAGCTGAAGCGCAGAACGTCCAGCAGGAATTGCTGGCCGAATTGGTTGCAGGCCAGAAACAAATCCTGGCTGAACTTCGGGCTCCTCGCCTAGCAGTGAGGCAGCCACAGTTTGCTGTAGTTCCCCCTGTAGGTGTGGGTCCATCATCGATGCCGCCACACACAGGGCAAACTTTCTCTCCTATGTTTGGCATGCCCCCTCCTGGTGGTTTAGCAGCAACTAGTGGTCCGGTTCAAAGAGTCTCTGCCGTACCATCCACGACAGTGGTAACTACAGTCCCACTGTCAAGCCAGGCCCATGTTAGTGTGCAACAGCCTGTTTCAGTGACTATGCAGCCGCTGCAGCAAGCCCCTGGGCCCAGGCAGCCTATGCAATGGATGCCTAAGATACCTCTAATGAGTCGCAAACCCTTCTCTGGAGATAGGAGGAAGGAGGAAGACTTGGACACCTGGGTGAGGACTATGCCTACTTATGTGAGGCACAAGCTCACAAGGCCAGAGCAGGAAGTTGTAGTGGCTGCCTCCTTTCTAGAGGGGTCAACAGCTCGCTGGTTGAATGGCTTAGTACGGTCAGGATTTCGATGCCTGGGCTCAGTCTCAGACATTGGAACAGTTCGTACGGTCCGTCTACAACAGGTGGAATGACCCGCAAGGGGCACAAAAGGCCACCGATGCTATCAACAACATTTGTTCCCGCAGGTTCAAGGATGTTAGAGAGCTTACAGACACCGTAGAACGTGCGTTTTGACCAGCAGGTTCTCCTGACGGATTACCTAAGGTGCCTACCTGCAGAGGTAAGGACCAAGCTGGTTGACGAGGCCTATATCGAACAGCACACCTTCGCTTCTTTCAGTAAGAAAGCTTTGGACATAGAGGCAAAGTTGGGGTCTGCTCATAAGGTATCTCATGATGGTAGGAAGAGACTACCCCAGGACTGGAAGAAGAAAGGTCAGTTAATGTTCGTTGACCATGATGGTCAAACGACGGAGATTGACGAATTCCCAGACCTTGGGGAGTTGAGAGAGCAGGATGGGGCCAACGAGACTTCGGAAGGGGGAGTCGTGGCACCTATCAAGGAAAAGGCTAGGGGGACCGGGAAGAAGAAGGTAGGACGGTCCGCGGGTCAGGGAGACCAAGGGACACCCGCATGGGTGAAGCTTGGTTTGGATTATAAGGTGTGGAGGGACCGAGTTGCTAGGGGCACTTGCATGAACTGTGGCAATTATGGCCACACGTCACGTACGTGCCGAGGCAAAAAGGTCACAACGAAGGTAGCCTCGCCAACAGTGGCGGGCTTATCTTCGAATCCTGGGAGTGCTTCTGCGAGCAGCTCACAGGGAAACACCTCGAGCCAGTAGGAGTGTTAGCCGCTCTTACTCGTGCTGAAGTGGTAACATTGCCTTCCCCACTTCAAGCGTTGGCCAAGGCTAGAGACCCACACATCGCCCCGCGGACACATTCAGACCCACCGACGCTCTGTTCGAGAGATGTGTCTGAGGCCCTAGAAGAGTTAGAGACTGAGTGGTCAGGGAAGGACCCCAGGGACTCTTGGGCGATGATCAGTAGAGGTCCAAAGGGTGAACATTTCGTGGTAGAAGTACATGTAGATGGCTGCAAGGTTGGCGCCTTCGCAGACATAGGCTCTACACGGAATTTCATCAGTCGTGCTTGTGTGGATAGACTGCGCTTAGGGGACCAAGTGCAGCGGCTTAGCAGAACTGTAGCTTCTACGCTGGCCAACAAGCACCAATTGTTGGTGAAAGACTATGTCAAGGACGTAGGCTGCACTTTCTCCCATGGAGGAGGGGAAGTGAGTCATAAAATCTCCTTCCTCGTTAGCGACGAACTGCCATTTGACATGCTCCTAGGTATGTACTACCTCGAGGTCGCGCAACCGCAGTTTGACTGGGATAGAAAGGTATTGATTCACAAATTGCCCAACGGTAGATCTGTTAGATTGCAAAAGTTCAAAGCTATTAGTCTAATAGAAAACTACGGGTGCATGTGTGCATCATTCTTCTATACCTATTATAAGCAGAATCGCGAGGAAGGCATGTATGTGGTATTTGTCTCTGAGAAAGGGGAGGCCATAAAAACATCCCCAGAGATAGAATCAGTCGTCGCACAATATTCAGACCTTTTTGAGGAGCCCACAGGCGTGGTAGAAAGGGAGGTTGTCCATGCGATAGAGGTTGTCCCAGGTAGCAAGGTGCCTAGAGGACGAATCTATAGGATGTCTCCTGCGAAGTTAGATGAGCTTCGCCGCCAACTCAAGGAGCTCATAGAGAAGGGATGGATACGGCCTAGTACCTCCCCTTACGGTGCGCCAGTCTTATTTGTCCCAAAGAAGGGAGGTCCATCAAGGATGTGCATTGACTATAGGGGCCTCAATGCCATCACCGTTAAGAACGCGGAGCCCCTACCCTGAATTGACAACCTCTTGGATAGAGTGCAGGGATGTCGGTACTTCACAAAGATAGATTTGAAGTCCGGATACCATCAAATTGCCGTTAGACCTGAGGATTAACACAAAACCGCATTTCAGACCAGGTACGGTCTGTACGAGTTTGTGGTGATGCCTTTTGGCCTATGCAATGCGCCTAGTACGTTCCAGCACGCGATGAACATGATTTTTCATGACTACCTGAACAAGTTTATCGTCGTGTACCTCGACGATATTCTCATCTTTAGTAGGAATGTGGAGGAGCACGCTGAGCACTTGAAAACAGTGCTAGGTCTCCTTAGACAGCACCAGTATAAAGTGAACTTGGATAAATGCGAGTTTGGTCGCACCAAGATCCTGTACTTGGGTCATGAAATTTCAGCAGATGGATTGAGGTCGGAAGATGCGAAGGTGGTCAGCATACATGACTGGCCCAGACCTCAGACTGTTACTGAGGTCAAATCATTTTTGGGGATGACGGGCTACTACCGTCCATTTGTGAAAAGTTATAGTACTATAGCTTCCCCATTGACAAATCTAACTCGACTTGACACCCCTTGGGAGTGGACTGAAGAGTGTGAAGCAAGCTTCAAGAAATTGAAGTATGCTCTGACACACTACGAAGTTCTTAAACTTCCTGATCCTGATAAGTCGTTTGTCGTGACCACAGACGCCAGCCAATATGGCATAGGCTCGGTCCTTGCGCAAAAGGAGGGGCCCAAGTTGAGACCTATCGAGTACATGAGCAAAAAGATGCCATCTTAGAAACTAGCTAAGTCCACTTATGAGCGTGAGCTCTATGCCCTGTACAGAGCGCTGGTACATTGGAGACACTATCTCCTTGGCAGATTCTTCTATGTAAGATCTGACCATGAGACCTTGCGCTGGATCAAGACTCAGCCAGTACTCTCTGACGCACTCAAGCCCTGGATACAAGTTATAGACATGTATGACTATCAACTTGATCCAATCAAGGGAGAGTACAACAAAGCAGCTGATGCATTATCTCGCCGGACAGATTATTCGGGCACACTAGTAACTGAATTTGGTATATCTAGCGACTTAACTCGATCATTGGTGGATGCCTATCAGCAAGATCCAATTATGTCGGAGATCATCCAAAGGACAAAAAAACTTTGGACGAATTTACGATGGTAGACGGCTTGCTGTTTCTTGAGAAGGCAGGGAATAAAAGGTTGTGTGTTCCCAGTAGTGAATCGTTGCGCAGTTTATTTTTAGGAGAATGTCACGATGCAACTGGTCATTTTGGCTATAAAAAGACATCAGCGAACTTAGTACAAAGATTTTGGTGGCCCTCTATGATGCTAGATGCAGAACGCTATGTTGAAACTTGTCAGGTTTGCCAAAGAGACAAACCAAGGACTCAGGCTCCGCTTGGGCTGATTAAGCCCTTGCCGATTCCTGAAGGACCTGGTCAGAGTGTGTCTATGGATTTCATGGACAACCTTGTGACCAGCAAGTGTGGAAAGAGGCATATCTTTGTTATAGTGGACCGTTTTACTAAGTACGCAAGACTGATCGCCATGCCAGAAACAACTAAAACTGACTACGTCATCAAACTGTTTATGGATAATTGGGTACGGGATTTTGGTTTGCCTATATCCATCGTTAGCGATAGGGATGTGAGATTCAAAAGTGAATTGTGGCAGTCAATTGCTGAACAAATGGGCACCAAACTCCAAATGACCTTAGGGAATCACCCTGAGTCAAATGGTCAGGCAGAACAGATGAACCGGGTAGTACAACACTTGCTTCGGCATTACATTAAGCCAAGTTAGGATGACTGGGACGAGAAGTTACCTCTCGTCGCCAGCTTGTACAACAATGTTGTGCACAGTACATCTGGTATGACTCCCAACTAGTTACATCTTGGTTGGAAACCCAGAACTGCATTGGACTTTCTGCTACCAGAAAGACAATCCACTGCAGCACCTGGCAGCATAGATTTTGCTGTCAAATATGAACAGATGCTGCAGCAGGCCGTTGAACATATTAGGAAGTCTCAAGATGCTATGATTGCATCTGAGAATAAGCATAGACAGCCCTCTAACTTTCAGGTAGGTGAACGAGTCTGGGTAAAGTCATCTGAATTAGGCCAGGAGTTGGGGATATCCAGAAAACTGATGCTACAGTATTTTGGGCCCTGGGAGATCTTGGACGTTGTAGGGGATCAACCGGATGGGCCTTCATACGTGATCCGTATTCCGGCACACCTACACACCTACCCCGTGTTTCATGCCTCCAAGCTGGCACCGTTCTCTGCCACTGATCAGTTTCCTTCCAGAAGATCAATGCTGCCCCCAACCATGGATGGCGAAGTGGACATTGACCAGATCATGGAGCATCAAGTGATGCCTGTTCCTCGACCATCACGCAAAGGGCGACCTCCTAAACCGAGAATGCAGTATCGTGTGAGCTTCAGACATCATCTGGATCCAAAAGAAGACCGGTGGTTCACACGAGAAGAACTCATGAGAACAGCACCTCAAGTAATCGCAGGCTATGAAAGAGCACTCAAGGGAAAGATGCCTGCAGAATGAGAGACTTCTCAGAGGACTCACGAAATAAAGGAGGAGGGAATGCGAGGATCAGGGTCCTCGGTAGAACTATGGGGCCCTGTTTGCAGCCTTACCCGCCCTAAGTGAAGGCGGAGGTGCCCGCCCTAAGTGAAGGCGGGCCTGACATATCACAAGAGGCCCTCAACTGTCAATTTCATATTTGGGGTCCAGGCAGTTGCGACGCGCCAGTTGGTTGAAAGAAACACAGGCCGAGCACCGAAGACATTTCCACGGCCTAC